AAACTCCTAACCAACTGCCATTCCACCCCTATAAAAACTCTCTATCTCCATTAGTGAAAAATGCGTTTAATATTATCATGTCTTTTTACATCGCCAAATGCCCATGCTTTCTATAGATCTCATATAATAAGGCGACAACATTAGAGACTTATCATTGGACTGCATTTTTCAGATATGAAGATTCTATGATGAAGAATTTAGAAAACTTCAAAGTTCAAACCTTGAGTTGTTAGTTAAACATGATGAATTTAAAAACTCGTATCAAGTTCAAAGCGGAGCAACTCCCACCCCCCTTTCAGACTTAGATCCAGTAGCGACCATACCACCCAAAAGGTTTCTTTTATAATTTCCGCAGTACAGGGATATGTAGTTTCAAAGAATGCAAACTCCCATTCCAAATGAGGAAGAACATTCTTTAGATTAAGATGTAGAAGACAATAATGTCGATTCGGATCCACTCTATCCTGGGCCCGCAGTGACATTAGGTGCATTTATGCTGTTGCTGGCCATATTTACTACAAAGTATAATCTGATTTGAGAGGCAACAGAACAACTCCTTAAGATCTTGGCCTTAGCCCTCACACATGGATATAAACTCTGTGCGTCTTTATATGAATTTAAATTATTTTTCAAGATAGATGTCAAACATTTGTGTGTGTATGTGACAAAAAGCACGCAACCGACACCTGTAGCTCTGAAAACAAATCACCTCATCTGAGCAAGATTTCAGAACACCAGTGAAGTTTGATAGACTAGTGTATCACCTTGAAGGCTACAATCAGATGGACAGAGAATTTACTTTAAGGATTTAATTACGGGCCGCCAAGAGGCGGGCCGTTTCGTGATACGGTTTTAAATGTTTACACTGCGTTTCTGCGGGATAGTTTTCATAAGAATTTTTATTTATTTTTCTTTATACTACCATTAGCGAAATAAAAGAGCACAATATGTAATTTATACATGCTGTTTTATTTTTTTAAAAAAATATCTTAATACAGCATTTATTAATAGACTACACAATGCTTTTATTGTTGTTGATCTAACGGATATGGAAGCTCATAAGTGAAGATAGTACTGTAGCAAGGTATTTATTTTCTGACAAGCAAATATCTATGGTAAAATTTGCGAAAAAAAATGTTTTTTACGTAAACTAATTTAAATAAAATGTATTAAACATTTTCACCAATATTATTTGAAATCAACAGCATTTTTATTTTCTTTTGGAAAAAAGGTTAATTCCCGTAACGGGGTGCCATAGTAGCATGCTCTTTTTTTCCCGCGATTCAGAACAAAGAGCCCTTTCGGAACTTTAAATTCTCGGGCTTTAACCACATGTATTACAAGCGCATGCTCTTTTTTCCCGCCGTTTAGAAGAAAGAAGTCCTTTCGGAACTCTTTATCCTACAAGAGAAGACGAGCAAGATGGTAAGATCTTTAAAAGCGAATTATCATCAGGGTTGTAGTATTTTTCAACCGTTTAACGGAGTGCAATGCACAGCGGTTGCACTCGTAGCTCTCATATCGCTCATGCAACAAATGTCATACCAGAATATTTCATATTTGACCCCCGGTTTCCTCGATCAAATTATTGTTGACGGGACAGAGTTGTACAAGTCGATAACAACAAGACCAAATGGTCCAAGTGGATATTTATCTCATAGAGATTTGCCTCAAAATATATCTAATCAATTCCCAATGTTTGGTGAATTAACCTATGCATATGATTTGTTTTATGGACCGGTGTTGGGTGCAATAAATGAAGACGCAGGTCAGATGAATTTTCGTGCTGCATTTTTTGAAAGTACACAAATTTCATCCCTTTTACTAAGTACATTTGGTGGCAGTTCAGTTGCTGTGATTTATGATCAAAGTCAACATATTGTGTATTTATTTGATTCTCATCAAAGAAATGAAAACGGTTTTCCAAACTCTACTGGTAGTGCTGTTTTGCTTACATTTGCTACAGAAGATGAATTTTTTTCATACATAAATGTCATGTATGGTCAGTTAAATTTTGAACTTACACCGGTTACTGTTAGTGGGAAGGGAAATGCACACAACTGTTTCAATTCAGTTCAATATCCATCACAACTTAGACAAAATGATAATTTGCATAATGATAACAACATTGCTGAAAATATTTCTATTGTATCAGAAAGTGCAGGTAGCAGTTTAGAATTTTGTCCTGAGGGTATTATAAATTCAAATAGTGTAAATAATGATCAAGATTTATTTGTCTCTAATAGAGATAAAGAAAGTGTTAATTTTCATAGTTATTTTAGAAAAGACAAAGACCATAAACGTAAAACTACAAGGAAACCTAGAAAACGAAAAAATCTGTGTGAAAATGACATAGTAAATGGTTTATGTTTTGAAGTGGTTAATGAAAGCGACGATTTTACAGGCATTCCTGTTGTTGCGGAAAACCAGTTTCTTAATGAGAATTTAGATACATGTACCAATCCAATTGATCTGCAAGATGTTGCACATTATATAACAGTAAGTTCAAGTATGAGACATGATATTAATTTTCTTGCTGATGCAAATCATGCTTTTGATTATGAAAATACTATAAGACAAAGGGCAAACAGGTTTTGTACATCCTGTGACAGATTTTTATTTCCTGATCAAATATATTGTCTGAAAAGAAATGTAAATCTTGAAGGAAGTAATTTTTCAGGGAATGACTCTTTATGTTATTTTTGTTATGATAAAGTAAGGAAAGGATCAGTCCCCTACATGTGTACTAAATATAACAATTTAAATGTAGAACGTATACGTGATGTACTGAAATGCCTCTCAAGTGTAGAAAAAAAACTCTTATGTATGGTAGAAATATTTATGACAATCATCATCTTGCCCGGTGGTCAGTTTGCAGAAAAAGGTTTGGTTTTAAATTTACCTTCCAATGTTCAAGTTATTGCAAGTCAGTTGCCACACACAGTAGATGAACTAAACATGGTAACCGTAAACTATCTTCACAATGGATATGAACCCGTTGAGAATGAACACTACCACGCTAACCCTTTTAAGCTAAAGAGAGCACTTTTATGGCTTAAAGACAACAATCATCTCTATGCTGGAATTAAAATTAATACTGATAGGATGAGTAATGAGTCAATGTGTGATATAATAAATTCAAGTACTGAATTTATTGATCAAACTGAGACAGAATATTACACTGTAACTCCACTAAATACAGTGCTGCTATCCTATAAGTTGACAATTCTATCCTATCCTATCGTGAATCCTGCATCCATAATCCTATCCTGTCATTTCAGTCTAATCCTATCCTATCCTATCCTGCAACTCTCAGTTTTTTAATATTTAGGAATTAATTTGACAAAACGAAAAAAAGGGAATAACCAGAAAAAAAAAATCAGATATAGTTATGGTATTCAATTAAATGTTATATATTTTAATGGAGAAAAATAATCGAGATCGGCATTCCATAATTCCCGACTCACCGCACAAATTAAATTTACGATTATCGATCATTGCCATGTTAAAAATTAATGTAAACAAACAAATCGTAATTAATCATGGGCAAGTACTGATTTTGCGAACATATGTAAAGAAATTAGGCTTCCAGAAGAATTAAAGAAAAAAATTTATATAATTAGTGTTTTAATTTTCCTTCTAATCTAATGATGATCGGGAGACCCGGGATCGCGACTTGCGTCCAGCATGTTATAATTAATTATTTTTAAAAATCATAGGCCTATACGGTAATAATGTTTAAGTAAAATTTTATTTTTTCCAAAACTGCATGAGCACCATGAAAATAACATTCATGTACATGTATATTCTAACAGTCTAATAGTTCTTTATGCAATTCTAAAAAAGAAGATATGACTGAACCATAAACCAAACATACATGTACAAGTCAAAATGTAGATCTAGAATATCTTGACTTTCACATATTAAACATTTTAAATGTGAAATTGTCTTGTTATATCAAATATTAAATGTATGATTTTTTTTTTATTTAAATTCATAATTTATTCTTCATGTTCTTATTTAAAATTTCAGTTCATCATCTGTTGTATTTAATATTTTTCAAACATTCAAAATATATAGTTGCTAAATAAAATTCAAGATAATCAAAATGTTAATCTTTTTTCATTAAACTTCAGTTTCTTCTCAGTTTATGGTCAACTCAGTGCCGTACAAATGTATTTCAATTTCCTATTTTGTTTTTTGTGTGAAAATCTAATAATTTATGTTTAATAGAATATATTTTCTACATTTTTATTGTCTGACAGATTGACAGTATATAAATAATGCATGTTGTCGAGTGTAAAATTGAAAATTTTCACCCCAAGAAAACCATTGTCAACCGAGGCGCAGCCGAGGTTGACAATGGTTTTCGAAGGGTGAAAATTTTCAATGTTACACTCAACTAAATGCAATATTTATTATATAATACTGAATGTTTTATACAAATACATATTACAGTGAACCGTGTGCGCATAAATTCCGCGCAGTCGCTATTTTTTGTAATACCACCCATCGTTAAGCATTGTTGACTGTTGCTATGCAGGAGGGCGTGGCTTCACTATTCAGCGGGTAGTAGTGTTTTTTATCATATTTTTCTCGACGAATCAGATTCAAGTGATTTACATGAAAGTATAATATTAATAAATATTGAACTGAGGTCACACATGTTCCTTAAATCTTATAAAACATGCATAAGAAATTAAGAATTTACAGTATTTAGAGTATTTTTAACTCATTCTTGAGTCAGCAAGGTTTGTATTTGACCTTGGCATTTGATCTTGAATGTTAACAAGTGTCTGATTGAGAAATATTAAAATGCTCCACACATTTCCTTAGATCTTATAAAACATGCATAAGAATTCACAGTATTTACAGCATTTATAACACATTCCTGAGTAAATCTTGTATTTGACCTTGACATTTGATCTTAAAATTTCAGTGCTTAAATGAGGAAAAATACTTTATCAAGTTCACAATATTTTTATTCAAGGTGATTCCTCAACAATGTTAAACAATTGAATATTCCATTACCATGACACAAAGTCATTTAAAGTATCCATGTACAGCATTTATGAATTTCAATTCAAAGATCACAGATACATGTACATGGACTTTGTTTAAGTTTATCAATGATTTATTACAGTTGTATTATGTTTTACATACATATAATTTGGCTTTCTTATCCGTCGCTCAAATTGAAATTCAAATGTCAGAGAGATGGTCATAAACCAAACAGTTCCACAAATGTCAACAATGTACAGAAAACAAATGCTGATCTCTTGAGCACCATGATTTCAGACTTGGGACTCTTTTGACACTGGTTTGAACATCTTTCATCATTTACTCTAACAGCATATGGCATGAACTGCATTCTGAACAGCTGCAAATGTGCAGGGTTTCCTGAAAAAGAAAAAAAAAACATTATAGACATGTAGATTATAAATTTTGTCATACACATTTCATACACATTTAAAATGTTTTTGATTGTGATTATTTACAATTGGTTTTAATTTCACCTTATTCTCTCCCAAAAGTAATGCATTTAGAAATCATGAAAAATAAAATCTTATACTGCAACCTCAGTCATATAAAAAAAAAATCTTATTCAACATAATTTACTTGACATTATAATTCATGTTATCCTGTCAACTTGCTAACAAGTATGAATACATTTGTTTCAGTGACTTTTCTCTATTTTATGCTTGTATTTATCTATTCTACGTTTTTTCTTGGTTTTCTTTTTTTTTTTTGGTCTTGAAATTTGAATATGGAAAAGAAGAAGAAAATATCTATGTAACAACAACATGATGAACAGAAAAATTCAACATTTCTTTCAGTTTTACTCTCAAGATTTTTGAAAGAAAAAAATCACTTGTTCCTAGAAACAATCTAATTAAAATTAGATGTTAGATCCATTTGCATACTCGCTACACTAATATCTAACAACATCTCATTGAGGGTCACGTCAGAGGTCAAATTTGGAACATCTCAAGAGTTATTCGCTTCAACAATATACGATGATTTTGCCAGCGGCGATTTGATTGGTTGATAGAATTTGACCTCTGACGTGACCCTCAATGGGATGTTGTTAGATGTTAGTGTAGCGAGTAATACTCGCCGAGTATGCAAGCGGATCTAACATTTGATTTTAATTAGATTGTCCGAGAAACTGCAGACTTGTCACCTCAACTCAGATAATGATGTTTATGTATTTTAATGACCATGTAAAAATACATGATAAAAGTAAAGTCATACATACTTTTTAGATTAAAGTCCCTTATACTGTAATGACGCATGAGTGCAGGCAAATCCATTCTCTGTAATTATGAATATTAAAAGATAACTTATGTTTCATAACTCACAATACATCATACATACATGTACAATATGTAAGTGCACTGCTGAGTGAGCTTATTTAACATTTAAGCAGTAGCATTAGAAATGGTCATGATGATTCAACATTCATTCATTATAAATTATACTGAAATGAAAGAAACTATTTTCTGGCCTTATTAGGGAAATGATAAGAGTAACAACCTGACTAAGGCATAATACATATGATTGTTTCAGTCTTAGAGCTCATCGATAGCTGATTGAATCATATGACTTAGTATTTGAAAATTTTTATCCCCCCTTCTGTCTACACTACTTCCTTTTTCCGCACCGATTTTTTGTTTATATTAAATAGAATAAATTGTTTATAGTCTAAGACATTAGAGCAATGTTTAAAGGAATAAATATGTATAAAAATGCAAACATGTACAGTGTACAGTGAGTAGTATACTTACATGATCTCGCACATCATCTATTCAAGTCGCTAATGACGGTTCCTGTGGAATTATCCAAACGAACAGAGCATATTTAACAGAAAAACATGTTATTACACTTTTACACAAGTAAGAATCGGTTAAATCATGCAAACAAGGTGAAGAAATACGGTCTTTCGATGCCTGGACTCTTCGTTGTTTACATTCCCAAATTCTTCCGGTGATCGTTCACGGTTAGATCGTACGCCGTGTTACTCGAAGTTTATAATGAAAATCTGTGTTTAGAGGAAAGAATGTTTTATTTTTTATTGAAATTTTATAAATATTTCTTTTGTAAACATTTTTATATCGTATTTCGTTTTTGTAATTTATTCTGAAATATGAATGAACCTTTGCTCGAATCTGATTGGCTGTAGGATACAGGATAGGATAGGATAGGATAGGATTGGATTAACTTCTATATGTTTCTATCGTGAATCCTCAATCCTGAATCCTATCCGATCCCATCCCATGTCAACTTGTGGGATAGCAGCACTGTAGCAGCGACCCAGGATTTAATGTAGCATCTTATCTTCAAAAAAATGTCATAGAAGTTCCACATATTACGGACAAACCTGTAAATATATATGAAATGGCACAAGGAGAAGAAATGGCTTTTCCATGGTTGTTTCCAAGTGGAAAATATGGATATAATTATGATAGATGCGTAAAGATTCCTCGATCAATGTATTTCAAACACAGACTGTACAATAAAAATGATATGTTTAGAACCAATATGACATATCTTCTGCATTCAGCGGTAGCATTTGATGTTGCACTGTTAAAATCTGAAATAAATATTAAAATGAGAATAAGAAAAAATAATAGAAATAATGAATTAATAACAGCAAAGGATTTACGAAACATTGAGGAAAATCCGTTTCTGGCAGAAAATTCATACATGTTCATGAAGAATATTAGGGGTACAGTTGCTTATTTCCGAAATCAATTGTTCAATTTGCTTTCTATGTTTAAATTGTTAGGACCCCCAACTCTGTTTATGACATTGTCAGCTGATGACATGCATTGGAAAGAATTGGGTATGTTAATAAATGATGTGAACTACAGTGATTTTAATGAAGGCAATAACTATCAAAGTGTTAAAAAAGATCCCTTGATGACAGCCATTCACTTTGAGAGGAGGTTTAAAAGTTTAATGAAACATGTTATATTAAATGGTATCAAACCATTAGGAAATGTTCAGGACTACTTTGCTAGAGTAGAATTTCAGAACCGTGGCAGTCCACACATTCACATGTTTTTTTGGATAGAAGGTGTTCCATCAAATATATCGGAGAGTTCCATGAATGAACTGAAGTCATATATAAATAAAACAATCTGGTCATTTATTCCAAATCAAGATGAAGAAATTAACTCATTAGTCACAAAACTTCAAACACATAGTCACACATCTTACTGCTGTCGTAACTATAAGACTTCGTGTCGTTTTGGATTTCCTAAAAAAGAATGCAGTGTGACCACAATTTTCCCCAATATTAATTTATCAAGTAGAACAAAAGGGAAGTTTTACTGTACTTACCGAAGCAAAACTGACTTAATGATAAATGCATATAACCCTGTTATTCTGAGACATTGGCGAGCAAACATGGATATTCAAATGATTTGTAATGCTGAAGGTGCAGCTTATTATGTGTGCAGTTACATATGCAAATCTGAACCAGATGAATTAAAAAATGCATTAGGTTCTCTGATACATGAAGTATTTAAATCAGATCCAACTATTCCTAAACATGTAAGGTTATGGAAAATAGGTTTAACTGTATTGCGTCACAGAAGAATGAGTAGCCAGGAAGCTGCGTACCGTTTAAGTAATTTAAATCTTATCCACACAAGTAGAAGATTTATTTATGTAAATACGCGTCAACCAGCACAAAGATTGAAAATATTAAAGAAAAAGCAAGAAATAGAAGATTTAAGTGATAATAGTACAGATATATTTCAGACAAATATATACGATTATTATTTACATAGACCTTTGTCTCTTGCAAATTTAAGTTTTTTTAGGTTTAGTTCCTGGTTTGAAAAAACATCTATTCAAACTCCAAAACGCAGAGGAATGGAGCGTTATTATATATCAAAATATGATATTTGGATGAAAAAAACAAAAAAAGCATTTGTTGTCAGAATGCCCAATTTTCCAGCATTTACAAATGATTTTTATTACTCTTACCTCATGCTGCTGCTACCACATACAAATGAAAATGAGCTTATACAACCATATGCAAATCCAAAAGATGCACTGATTGCAAAGAGAGAAATGTTAAACTCTTCTGTGGACTTTACACATTTTTCGTTTGTTGAACAAATCGAAAATGTAATCAGAAGAATGAATCTTTTACAGGAAGTTGACAATTCTCACACTAATAGTACAAGAAGAGAGCCATCTCAGGTTGACTTTGAAGTATTTACAAGATTATCAGAATGTCTGATGAGTAACATTTCAAATGACAATCTGTATGACAAAGATATAAATGATGAAGAATTTGAAAATGAAATGCATATGCATTCATTTACTTGCTCAATGTCAGTAAATGAATTTCATTCACATGTGAAGCAAATGACATTTTCACAGTTAAATGCCTTAAATTATGTGAAAGTTAAATTTGAGGGAAAAGGAGATCCTTTTCATCTCTTTATAACAGGTGGTGGTGGTGTAGGCAAAAGTTTCACCACAAATGTTATAATTGGTTATCTTCAGTTATTCTGTGCAAAAGTCCCAAATACCAATCCTGTGGTTGTGTGTGCTCCAACTGGTACAGCAGCCAATAATGTCAATGGAAGAACTCTTCACTCAGTATTAAAAATACCAGTTGGAGATTATTTGGAGTACAAAAGTTTATCGTGCTATAGTTTAAAAGAATTGAGAAAAGTTTTTCAACATGTTCATACTCTTGTTATAGATGAAATAAGCATGGTTAGTAGCAGCATGTTATCATTTATAAGTCGCAGATTATCAGAAATTAGCAATAATGAATTTGCATTTGGAGGGTACAATGTAATTACAGTTGGAGATTTTTTTCAGCTTAGACCTGTTAAGGGAAGTTTTCCATTTAAAAATACTTTATTATGGCATCTTTTTGATCCTATTTTTTTAACAGAAAATGTAAGGCAAAGTGGGGATACATCTTATTCTTCTTTACTTAACAGAGTAAGAGTAGGTCTCCCAAATCACGCTGACATAGAACGTTTAAAAATGAGGTTACTTTACAATAATAATGATGATTATTCTGGACATTTACATATATTTCCCACAAGGAAACAAGTTGAAAATTATAATAGTTGTAGATTGCTGCAAACAACTCATTCCATTTATCATATACATGCTATTCATTATTTTGCATCAGACGATGACAATGCAGTTGGTTTAGTTGATGAATACTTCATTCCAGCAGATGACCGGGTTGCTGGTGGTTTGAACAGAGTTTTAGAAATTTCAAAGAATGCCAGGGTTATGCTTACTCGTAATATAAATACAGATAGTGGTCTAGTAAATGGGGCTGTGGGAACTGTAGTTGAAATGATATTCTCTGATAATTCATCTGTTCCATCTGCAATTAAAATATTGTTTGATGACCCAAATATTGGAAAATTGTCAAATGTTCATGCACACTCGTTACGTCCAAGTGCAATTGAAATTCAGCCTGTTCAACAAGAATTTACTTACAGGGGGCGTCACATAGTTAGATCACAATTCCCTTTAATTCTTGCGTGGGCTTGTACAGTACATAAAGTCCAAGGTTTATCTTTAGATTCCGCTGCAATTGACTTAGGAACTTCTGTCTTTGATAAAGGTATGGCATATGTTGCATTGAGTAGAGTGAAAGCAATAGAGGGTTTAATACTAATTAAGTTGGATACATCTAAAATACAAGTATACGATGATGTCGTATGTGAATATGACAGACTGAAACAAAAGTGTAAAGAAAATTAGGTAGCGCTTATTAGTTTTGGTTAGGATGTAAATTGTTCTATTCTCTTTATTCAGTAAAACTTGATTGGTACTAACAAGGATTCTGCAAATTCACTGATATAGTCAAATTTTCTTGAATCAAAGACTGCATTTATATTGCATAGCTTGAGTGCCAAATTATTTGACATAATTTATTTCAATTATTTGGTGTGTTGATTTAAACTTCAGTGAGATAGACAAGAGTATATTTTGATACAAGATATATATACTTATATATACTTTTTTGTATTTTAGTCAGACGAAAAAATCACAAAGTGCTTAAAGATTTTTAAGAAGTCCAAGAGTACAACTACTTATGTTAACAAAGTCATGAAAAAAGAGATGAGCTATTTTAATGTTGTTGGGGGAGAAGGAAACATGTGTTACCATCTCAGAGTGTACCTTACCTCAAAGTTTAACATACTAAAAGAAGGATTGAGCTTTAAATTTAAGAATCTGTCTAAGAAGAATGAAAGAGAATTTTGGGTAACAAAAAACACTGAAGTGACATACACAAGTATTGTTGAAACTGATAGTGATGTAGCAGTGCCCCTTCTACCTGAAGAGAGACCAGCAGATGGTGAAAAAATGTCATTGGAAGATGCCCTCAGGTCACCTGAGAAATCTAGTGTGTGCGGTAAAATTGTAAAGGTGGGTATACAGTAAAACACGTTTAGTACAAACACGGATATAGCGAATTCACGGATATAACGAAGTGTTTCTGGGTCCCCGGCAAAATTCTTAACAAATATTTGTAAAATTTTACGCTTATAACGGACTCTGATATAACGAATTTACGGATTTAGCGAACTGATTTTGAGTCCCATTGAGGTTGAATATAATGAATTTTACATCGTTTATAACGAACTTTCAAAGATTTCAAAATTTGAATAATTGAACTGACTTTATTTTCTGTCGGCATTTGTATATAAAATTCAATTCATAATAAAACCTTAATTAAGGTATGTTTTGTAATATTTGCGTCCCTAACATATTTGATAGTAACACTTGAAGGAAAACTTGCATATTGCAAATTTGCTATATATGGTTATACGAATTTGTTATACAGATATAACAAATTACGGATATAGCGAATTAAATTAACAGATCCCCAGGACTTCGCTATAACCGTGTTTTGCTGCAGTTTGAAATTTTTCCAAACAAGCCATATCTGATGACACAGAATGAAATATTTACATGATGTATTTTAAGTTGGATTACTGCTATTTACATCTCTCTCTAAATTTCCTTTT